CAATACAATTATAGATATAAATGAAAGTTTGCTTTTTCTTAATAGCATTAAGAAATTGTTAATTTATCTTGTTCTTTTTTTAGAGCTACAGAACTCTAACACGCTGGGCTAAGAGAAATGCCTTTTCATTGGATCACAATCAATTATCTGATGATGTCTCCACTTCTCCTAATGAATCAAGCGATCATTCGTGGCAGACATATAGTGTATCTTCTAGTTCTGAATTCAATTCATACTACTCTTCTTCTATTGACATCACATATCAAGCTCCTTGCGAAAATACGACAACAATGCAAGCTGAAAAAGATATCCAGCAGTGGAATAATCATTTACCACAGTTGTCAACATGTGCCAATTGCATGGATTCATCAACACATACTGTTAGCTGTATAAGTGTAAATAATAAAGAGATGCACTTTTCAAGGTATGATGTAGAAAGTGACAATGAAAGTGACACTGATGATGAATTGCTTGATACTGTTATTGTATCATCTGAAGCACTTTGCTCCAAAAGTCGTATGACTGTAGACACTGCTGTGTTACATTTTGTCAATATATATATCGCAAATAACAAAACACTTATTTGTCTGAAAAATGATTTACGTTTTTTAACGTCTGCGTTGCCAAAACCGAATCGAATGCCGAAAACTGTATTCAAAGTGTTTGAATATGTTAAGCAACAGGCTCCTCCTTGTATAGTTACCACACATTATTGTTGTAAAGTATGCCAATTTTATTATGGTACAAGTAAAGAAGCATTATGTAATGCTTGCAACTCGGATGCAGGCTGTATTTCTTTTTTTGAACTTGATATTATTAATCAAATCCAATATTTGTTTGAATGTAGGCATTTAGCTGATATTTTAGACAAAACATTTCAACGAAAAAATACAGATGCAAATATAATAACTGACATCACGGATGGGTTAGAATATAAAAGAGTGAATACTGGCAGAAAAAAATATGATGTAACACTAATGTTAAGTACAGATGGTGCTTGTATAAAAAAAAGCTCAACAGCTTCTTTATGGCTTACATGTTTTACTATTGCGGAAATTCCACCCCATCTGAGACGTTTTTTTACAATATGTATAGGAATATGGTATGCCGATACTAAACCAGAGATGAACACATATCTAAGACCATTATGCTTAAAACTGCAGTCTTGCTTTAAACAANGAGGTCTTACGTGGATCCATCCTAGAACTAACATATCTTATAAAAGTCTAGTAAAAGCTCCTCTTATAATCGCTGATGCTCCAGCTAGAGCAATGGTTTTAAATATGCAAAATCACAATAGTAAACATGGGTGTCACACGTGTGAAATTAAAGCAAAAAAAATACGCAATCCTCAAGTAGGTAAAACACGTCGTCGTGTGTATAAATTTTGTCCTAGTGGATGGACTATACGAACAAAGAAAAAAATTCTTACATGTGGCAAACATGCTGAATTTACTCATAATATTATTAAAAGTATAAAAGGACGAACAATAGTGCATATTTTGCCAGGTGCTGATGAGAGTACTATTGTCTTTGCTGAATTTATGCACTTGTTGTGTTTAGGTGTAATAAAACAAGTTCTTATTTTGTGGACGGAAAAACCAGGCGAATGGAGCATTAAAGAGCATATTGATGCTATTGATAAATTTTTATCAAATATCAAGCCACCTAATACATTTGGCCGTTTACCTAGAGAATTAAAAAAGCGCAAATTTTGGAAAGCGTATGAAAATTTATATTGGGCACTTTTTTATTCTCTTCTTGCTNTAAAAAATTATTTGCCTGACAAATACTTTCAGCATTGGATGCTACTTGTAATATCTCTCAATATATTATTACAAGAACAAATGCACATCTCTGAGTTAGGAAGAATAGAAATGTTACTTACACGATTTGTAAGTGAGTTTGAAACTTTATATGGAGAAGCTGAACTTACGTATAACTTGCATCAACTGCTGCATGTGGCATTAAATATTCAACGATGGGGTCCAGTATGGAGCAATAGTGCCTATACTTTTGAATCTTTTATTGGAACTTTAGCAAAAATGATTCATGGACCAAAACATATTGGAAGAGAACTTATCAATAAATTACAAATCATTCAAGGACTTCAGGTTATGTCAAATAAACAACAAATCCAANCAGCTTTTGTTGTTGACTCATGTTTAGGTAAAAGTATTGAGTTTTACAAATTTACTGAACATGAGAGTTATTTATTGGATTCTGTAGATATCTTAGCAACAAATGTAAATGTCTTTGCTCGAGCAAAAATTAAAGGNCAGATATACACCTCTTTGCTTTATAAGACATCAAATACAAGAAGTTATTGTGTACGCTGTAGAGTTGCGGAAAACTCTGTTGTTTTCGGCTCAATAAAATTATTTTTTACAG